TTCCAATTCTTGTAGAGACTTCACCACAACAAAGCATCCGATCATTCTGGTAGAAACTCTTACTACCACAAAGCACTCTATACTTCCGTAGAGTTTCACCTTCAGTTAGAATGTCGAGTCATAGCTCAAACTCAACTACTTTAAACAAAAAATGTGCACAAATAGACTGAACAATCCCACACAAAGAGAATTCAGAAAGAATTCATTTGATATATTGTTGCATTCTCAATGAGATATATTGTTGTTTCCGACAGGTATCAATTTGGATAGGATTATTTTAAAGTATTAATCCATCAAAAAGAAAGTTTTTTAATTCTTTAAAATCCCGAGCATCCCCCCCCCCAAGCTTTATGGTTTGGGAGCTCATGCTCTCCATGAGAGATGATAATGAGATATTCCTTAACTTGCATGCGTTACTTGAATGAGTAACTAACTATACATGAGTTATCAATTTCCTTACTCTAACTCTCTAACGTCACCTATCAATCTTTGAACTTGGATCTCCAACTGAGCCAATTGGGATTCTAATCATTTAGGATTCCAATCATCTATCCTTACTGAGCTAGTTAGGATTCCAATCATTCTTGTAGAGACTTTACTAGGATTCCAATTCTTGTAGAGACTTCACCACAACAAAGCATCCGATCATTCTGGTAGAAACTCTTACTCCCACAAAGCACTCTATATTTCCGTAGAGTTTCACCTTCGGTTACAATGTCAAGTCATAGCTCCAACTCAACTACTTTAAACAAAAAATGTGCACAAATAGACTGAACAATCGCACACAAAAGAGAATTCAGAAAGAAGATTTAACTGTCACAAAAATGGAGAAAGAAAAAACTAGTGAGACAAACCTAATCCTCCATCACCTATCCATAAATTACCATTTGATAATTTTGAACAAATTAATCAATATTTAACTGTCAGCAAAACCATGACAAAGAGAATAAATTATAAAAGGACTATAAATTCTTTATTTATTTATATCCACAAAAAATGGATTCAGGGAAGGTCAATGGTCTCGTTTGCCATCAGATCCACTCGTCCAAATCCGTATTGGAGGTGAATCCTGATTTGGATCAAATGGCATCGAAGTTCATTAACTTTATCAATTAAATACAATTCGAGCCCCCAAGGTCTTTTTCATGAGCAATATTTTGCCGAGCGGATTCCTGAAAGCATGAACCTTGGTGCAAGCAGAGGATGAACCAACAAACATAATAGGTTCTATGCCACGATCAGGGATCTAATAACCAATGGAATGTGGGAATCAATGTTTCATGTTGAACTCTGCTTGCATTTCTCCTGCACAGTAACAATAATCAAGCGGTTTCAGTGTACTTTGGCCAATCAACAATACACAATCAACCCGCAAGTTCATTTATGGGTGCTCGGTCCATGACACTGGATGCAAGCAGCGCATTGTTTTGTAGAAGTGGATCAATATCTGGCAACTTAGGAATCTGGAATAGATGCAAGCAAATCAAGTGTCAGTATACTGTTTGCATTGTAACAAACTGAAACCAAAAAGAAAGCAATGCTAATTGCAAAAGATACATGCACCCACCCGACTTAGCAGCTTTTGAAGTGAAAAAAATAGTGGATGTCTGGGCTGAAATTTTAAGCTACATAGGGCAGTTTCACTACCTTTCCAAACACATCCTATCTCTTCCGATGAAACTATTTTAGAGTTGTTTTTACTCTAGCAATTAATTCCCATACCTTTTCAGATGCTTATTATTTGTTACAGAACTCTAAATTTGTCGAGTCATATCAGGCAACATTTCAGCACAGGTAATCAATCTTCCATTCCTTGTCATTTTAGATGGATATGCAGATTGAATTCCCTTTCAAATCTAGCCCAGTTGATTTTTTAATCCATGTTTTAGTTGGAGTGACACTCATGAAGCATGCATTTCCATCTTTAATGACAAAGACAATTGAAGTATTTTATATGAGATCATAATTTGATCTCTAATTAGCATATGATTATGATGATGACACAAATCAGCTTCAAGAGGAATGTTCTTGGAACCAAGATTTGACTTCCATTAACTTTTCTATCTTGCAAACCACTGCCCTTTCTTGAAGTTTAAAATCTTCTCTGCAGTCAGCAATTTCTGTTCTTAAGGCAGTACATTATCCTAGGTTTTGCAAACTCTACCTCATGAATGTTTATCACCGACACTCCTAACATGTCTGGTACTATGGCCAATATGTATCTTTCAGATATAAACCATATGCCCTTCACCACATAACCAAATCATTAATTAAATAATAGTTTTTCTTGTGCTAGTGACTTGTAATGAGTAGCAACATTTCAATTTTTGTTGGTTTTGCCGCTACACGCTTATAGGCCCATTAATCAAATTCTCTTATTGTATTTAAAAGATTTGATCATAAAAAGTATTAGTGTGAGAAGAAGGGTGAAGATGAACTAGAAATTTGCAACTATGATGAACCCAAGCTATTTGGAGGCAACAACACACGAGTAGGGCCAAAAGAATTAGTACAGATTAATTTACTTTTTTCTTTTTATTTTTTCTACTTAGAAAAGGAGATAGCTTTTTCTAAATCTTAGAAAATCAGTTTAGATATGAGACCTATCTTAAAACGTAAAGATTTTAGAATAAGTAAACTAAGATTTATGAAATATAATTCAGTACTATAAGAGGATAATTGAGGGCATATTCAGATGGACAGTAAGTTCTTATAAGTGAAAGTTTTAGGCGTCTTCGAACTATTATTCAACAAAATGGAGAGATTAAAAATATTATTCAGAGCAAAAACAAGATGGTTAAAGTGGAGAGAGGCATTGTGAGCTTTGCTATCATTGAATGTGTTCTAACTAAAAAGAAAAGTTCTAAAAGACAGTTATTAGGCTACCCATGTTTTATTGATTGGAGGGTTAGGTAGTTATAAAACTACATGTACCAAAAGTTTGTATAGATGAGATAGTGGGTGTGAGATACCTATTGATGTTGTATAAGATAAGATGAGTTTATTATTCATAATACAAGAAGATGTAGAGAGACCTACAAATGTTGTATCAGATAAGATGAGTCTATTATTCAATTCGAGAAAGGTAAAGAGAGACCGACTTCACCAGAAACAATAAAAGATATTTACATGATCTTTGATTTAACAAGTAATAGTGCCTTAGACAGTATGGAAAAAATATTCATATAACCAACTTCAAATACTTGGAATATCATGACTTGTTTGTTTGTTTGTTGTTCAGAATTACAAGTAACACTCTTAACTAATAAGAAAATAGTTTGGATTATGGCTTAATTTGTCTTGACACTAAACTGGATTCAACCCATACCTAGACAATTCCTTTAACTCCATAACTGGAACTAATGAAATTAAAAATCTGAATAACAATGTGCAAGCATAAAATGGGTTTTAGCTTTTTAAGATAATAACGAGTGTATAAACTACAAGACCTCTAATTAAACACAGAAACTTGTTAAACATAATGATTCAGAAAAACTGTGAATGCCAATTAATTTGCAAAAATACTAAATTACTCATGTAAATTATGATATTAGTCACCAAACTGATGTCTGGTATCTTCATGAACTGCAGGTTTTAAATTCAAAAAGCATCAGATTAAAACAACCAACCTGTGCCAATAAATCTATTGTACGACGTAATAGTCTAGCTAGGTCCCCCTCATCCATAGCACAGTCCATCATTATTTCTCTCCAAGTTAGACCAGAGGCCCAGGCTTCAACCATTCCAGAGAACTGACCGTCTAACTCACAGGGTATCTGTAAAGTAAATGAAAGATGAATAAATTTAACAAATCTATAATTTTATGAGAAGTAAACATTTACCAAAGATGATAACAAACCTTGACGCCATATTTATCCTGAATTTGGATAAGAGATATTCTCTGCTCCTCCAAAAGGTAGATAACATCAATCACAATTGAGGATGGCTCATAAATATAGCTGAAACAAGGAAAAAATCATCAGAAAGAAGGTACTTTCGGACTAAAGGGAGTTCGCAAAAAACTGTAAAGCATGAATACAGATGTAAGGCACCAATACAGTCCAGATATATGACACCAACATGTTGATACAAATTGAAAAATAAGATAAGATACAATATGGATATGAAAATAAAAAATATTTATGAGATATATCATATTATATAAGACAAAGTTCAACCACTTTGTATAGCATTATTAATAATCAATAATAAGTATATCCCATGCACCATAATTCATAATGAGTATTAACATAGTTCGCCAATATCATATAGAAACATCATGGCTTTACGATAAATGAAGCAAAATCATTCTATTATTTTTTACTAATCTTTCATGTCCAATACATGATAGGAAAAAATCTGTTTAATCATAGTTCCATACAGTGCTTTTAAAAGCGCTAAGTGTCAAAAGACACCAAAGTCCCAAAACGCCCGAGGCCTAGGCACTCACCTGACTAAAACAAGGCACTCTCGAATATTAAAATTTAAAAAATATTATATTACCTATAAAATTTAACAGAGCACCACCTTAATATGTTCTAAACTCTTAAGTTCTAACTCCTAACAGAGTAATAGTGCACCACCTAAATATCATGCAGCAAGTTAATTAATGAAAATATTACCTATAAAATGAGAAAGGGAGGACTGAGAAGATAGAGAAGCAACCGACAACCATAGAGGAATGTGGGGGAAGGCAAAAACAAGTGAAGAACGAAGATGGACAGGGTGGTGGATGACACGGATGAAAGCAACGAACGAGGTTGCAGACGACGATGAATGGAGCTACAGTGGTGAACGGAGTGTACAACATTGCCGATGGTAGCAGACAGAGCTGCAACGATTGACAGAGTGTATGAAGAAGGCGGACAAGCGATAGGGTTTCGCTTATGGTTTCTTTCACTGGGTTGGGTGCGCGGGGAGGGGGATTGCAGTGTTAGGGTAAGTAACATTAGTTGGTTCGATTAAACCAACTTACTTGGCTAGTTGAACCCATGCTCAAAGTCGAATTGATTTGGCTCAGGCACTCGCCCGAGTAGGCGCCTGGGTCAAGCGCACGCCTGAGCAGTGCTTCATTGAAACGCCTCGCCCCGAGGTGTTGTGAGGAGCTCAAGTCTTGCCTTGCCTTGCCTTGCCTTGCCCAAACGCCTAGGCAAACACCCGAGCACTTTTTAAAAACACTGGTTCCATCATTATAATTAAGAATGAATACTACACTAAGAAAAATTCCCCAAAAAATATCCATGAAGTATTGTACTGTATCCTATATATCTTAGTAGTTAGTACAAGAATTTTCAAAAAGAATAATTTTTTTAAGAATCAGATACTTTGAGAAAGTATTTGACATGTACCTCGGGATTATCTTATAAATATCATTTTTGACACATTTGATACATATACAATAAGCAATTCCAAGTGTTCATTCTTCAAATACAAAAAGGCTTTTGTAGTCATCAGCTAGCATCCTTTTGCTGCTGTCATCTCCTAGTAACCATGCTCATGCAACTAAAAATAATGTATATTGAATCCCTTAACTTGTAATTTAATTCAGCACCCTAACCACAATGGTGGCTTTTCCAAAAGACAATCTATTTGAAAAGATGCATATTACTTGTTTAAATGCTCAAAAGGATTGTTTTTGGTTCTATTTCTCACAGTCCATCTCTATAACTGGAACATTGCTTCTGACATCTTTCATTTAATATATTCTTGTTTTCCGGATAAAATATCATATGATCTTCCAAATTTCTGCCAGGTCATTTTCTGAGTGAAGATTGGCTCACTTTTAGCCCTTACAAACTTCTAATCATTTCTGTCACATATTTGTATCCAATTTATGAAACCAACAAGCTTAATCCCATTTAAATAGAAGACTTGATGGTTCCTAAAAAAAATTTTATGACGAAAATTACACTATCAACCACCTTACTTTTCAGAGGCAACCAACACAAGGTCGAATTCTTGTTGGGTAAACAGACCAGGGCTTATTGCATATCTATAATCCCAGCCAACAACATTGTGCATACTGCCTGGTACTTGGTACATACCTGTTCAAATATTGGGCTTACTGCCTGGTATTTAGTATATTTCCATGCCTCACCCATAAAGGTCCAAGGACAGACCCTTAACTGAACTTTCAGTCAAGTCTCCTCTCTACTCCGCTCCTGTTTCACTGAACTTTCCTCTTTCACTAAGATTCAAAATCCAAAGACCTCTTTTACTCCATAGCAAAGATTCATTGACACTCTTCTATCAGATTTGAGGGCCCATTCCACATTCAAGATATTATTATTGAAACTTTCATGTAGCATTCTAATTCTTTATTAGACTAATAATAAATCCAAGTTATATTAAACTAGGATTGGGCAGATCTAGGCCGAACACAGTTAAACCCCAAGGAACTAGCCTAAATCTACGTGGATCTGGATCAGATCTGATGTAGCCTAGATCTATGTGGATCTAGGTCAAATCTGTAGCAATCAAGTTTAAATCTTATAATATTAAATTAAACAATGTTTATATGAGATGGTACAAAAGCCTAAAAAAAGTGTCGACCCTAGCATGAAAACATGATAGACATTTTAAATGCCTCCATCATTAGCAAGGTGTTCACTATGATTACAATTGTCATGGTGGAAGAATCGAAAGGGTGAAGATGGATCTGGCTAGGGATTTCTTCACATCATTAGTAAGGGTAGTTTTCAGCAAAGAATTGGGAGCCAAGAGATCCTAAAGAAGAAACAATGAGATAGGAATTCAAATATTTAATGGGTTGACATATAGGAATTCTACTGTTAATCAGTAATGAGGTCATTCGGATGGCCACAAAATTGTTGGCGTCCATGTGTCTATGTATCATTATATGATGTACAAGCAGGCAATGAGGATCAAATGCTATTGACACATCACTGGTTATGACAATGGTGATGACGCTAGTGAGTTGAATAGGCATGAGCATCATGCCAACACCAAGTAGAAGGCATACCGGTTCCTTCAGTTACTTTAGACAGGTCGACTTTAGATGCCAGAGACCTTGAACCATGGTGATTTAGTCTTGAATGTCAAAACATAAGAGGACTAATGGCTAACATATAATAAGAATATTGTCTGGACAATTGCTAAGTGGTCTTTTTAACAACATGCCCTTATACTGGCCCAAATAACTATATTCAACCCCTTACCCCATATGAGTTTGCAAGAAAAGTATCTTAATGACGAGCTTGAGAACATGCACATGGATGACATCTTTTAAAAGCTAGAGGGACCTCTATGGTGTTACTATGATGCAAAATAGATGGTCAGGACTCGAAGAAGAGGAGAAAGAGGAGGCAGAGGTAGAGAGGAGGATAAGTGCTAGTGGCAGTGAGCTATGAGTGGGCCCATGGCAGAGGGCGGTGATGTCGTACTTCATGTCATAAAGGGCTTAAGGGTTGACAATGCTAGAGAGAGAGAGAGAAATGAGGGTGAATTTAATATACTTTACAGTTTACAATATATTAAAAGGGTTTTTGATTAAACTCTGAAGCAGACCAGAACTGTTCAAAATGGGCTGGTCCACAATCAGAAACTCCATCAGCTTGGTATTTACTGTTTGGGTCATATCAGTCTGAGCAGTTTTTTAACCAAGGTGGACACCAAAACTTTGTAATGGTCATGTATTTTATGATTTAAAACAAGTTTAATGTTTGAATATAAACCTCATGGTGGAACTTGTATGCTAGCTTCAACATTTTTATTTGTTTCTATATATGTTTCTTCTTTTTATAATTGATAATAGGTCATAAAATATCAAAGAGATAATGAAAGTTTAAAAATATCAAAGATGATGAAATTATTGGATCTGAAATGGATACGATCCAGATAGGTTTGTAGTGATTGGTACCTGCCTGTATTAGCACTCAATGGGATCAATATAAGTATCAATTTCAATCCTGAGCAGAGCTCAATTTAATATACAACAAATATTTCAATCCTTGGACCATCCCATTTATTTCTCAAGAAGGCACGACCAGCCATGAAAGAGAAGATGCATATCCTTTTACTTGGTTTTGACTTTGATTTGGTAAGCCCAGTTTTGGTAGGATTACTGGCAGTATCCGATGTTTCAGACCGAATTAGGGAAAATCACTCTGTACGTGTCCTGGTCTCCAGTCGTTTGATACAGACAGATCCATCTAGGTTTTAAAACCATTCCTTATAAGTTTAATAATTTGAATAAATGACCATCTTGTTTGTTTTTTGTCTCTTTATGTTATCAATTACATTTCAATACTCCATTTATTTTAAAAATTTTAAAAAATTCTAATTTGTAAGCTCTTATGTTTTCAATTCTTTAATTTATTTATTTTACTGTGTAGTAATTGGTTTATTGCAAGTTCATAGGAAAAGTTTTTAATTAAGAAAATAAAAGTATAAGATTGATTTGGCAGAAATACCAACCTGTTACTTTTCCAAGGTCGCACTTTGATTCCTTCTGAAACTAAACTTCCGCATACAGCAGCGAGTTGTGCTGGCTTCAGGTTTAATAAGACTTTATTCCTAAGTATCATTGCAAGCCATAGCTCATTTTCTCCTCGAATTGCTGCTGCTGTTTCACCTAAAGGGTATATAACCTGAGTGCTCAAATCCAATGCTCTTGCTTCTTGTATTACTTTGCTTATCTAATCAGAAGAAACATAAACTGATATAAGTTTAGCAATCTTGAAATCAACTGAATTGATGAAGAGCAAAGATTAAAAAACCACGAGCTAGAAAATCAGATACTGAGATGTTCAGCAACCTTGCCTTCAAATCCTTGCATATATGCAACAACAATACACATGAATAATGATATTGTAGACATGGAAGCAATGATGTGATGCACTAACATATTTATGCACAAGCACCAGAGAAACTTGCACACACAAAAGCAGGCACCCATGAGATACAAGCATAAAACAGAGATATATTTCTGTAATATCTGATTGATCTCTGAACACGTACTAGTAAGAAGATTCCAACTAGAACTGAGTTTACCATGAATGTTTCCTTTTTCAAAGATGCACCGTTTAGGTAGAATAAGTGACAATTTGAATAGCTGATTGATTACACATTTTGTTATAAGCAAAATATACTGAAGCAAACAACTTTAATACATTGAAAATGAGTAGTTCACAGAATTTTCCTAAAGGGGAAGAGGAGAAAGTAGAAAAAGATAGGACAAAAGGAGAGTATAAGAAAAGGTATTGTTTAACTACTATAGCATTCTGTACGTACCAGTTTTGAAGAACATGGTATGCTGCTTAATGCTTATAGTGCAGTTAGTACATACAACATAATGATCCAGTGCTAGACGGATCAAACCAGGCTGCTGTCAACCAAAAAAAAATCCCACTAAATTTTTTTGTCAAAATCAAATTGATTTTTGAAAGCTTTGGGTCTAAATCCATCAGAAACAGAGTTGTGATCTCCTCCCCTCCATCTCTAATTCTCTATAGGGAAGCGGTTAAGTGTGAACAAAGAAGAAAAAGCATTCAAGTGGAAAATTTTTGCCTGCAAAAAAAAAGAAGAAAAGAAGAATTTGAGGCAATGGAAAAAGAGGAGGAAGAGGTCACTTTTGGTTCCATCCCACACTTTTTATTCTAATTTTCTATAACCTTCCTCCTTGTTATTTTCTTTGTTTCTTATCCGTATTAGCAGGTATGATGGTATATTCTAGTCCGATAGGGGATAGTATTGGATCCAATACCAAATTTAAAATGTACACATGAACCACTTAGTTCAGGGTGACGTGTAGCAAGCCACTTAGTTCAGGGTGACATGTAGCAAATTGAACTGGTCATAATCTAAAACTAGAGAAACCTCACCTAAATCATAAGAGAGCAACATCATGCATAGCACCTTGTGAACTCTTCTTTTTACATGCTTATCCCCTTGACTCCAAAAAAAAGGACTATGAGGAACAGCAATGACCCTGCTCTAAGCAATACTGCAGTGGGGGAAGGAGATATGAGAATAAGAGAAGAAATGAGAATAGAACTAAAGAAGGTTAAAGATTGTTATCACTTACCATCATCATCATCATCAAGAGTATCTAGCATATAAGGCTCCCGCAAATACAGGGGATACAGGAGTCGATAAACAAACTTACCCTCTACTTATAAGTAGAGAAGTTGTTTCAGTGACTCGTCCCTTGGTCACATAGGCCATGAAGGTGCAACCTTATGGTTATATTAAAACTCACTTTTTTTGCCTTTTAAATATTATCATCATCACAATAAAATTATTATTGCTATTTGCTAGTACTTATGATTTCTCTATTTCCTCTTTAATTCTAAATTGGAATCAGCTAGTACTAATAGATATACTGACAGTATCAACATGCTTAGCAATTCAAGGGGTAATCCGCATGGGAGTAGTACCTGAGATTTAATTCCTCCTACCAAAAGAAAATATTTAATCAGCCAAAATCACGATTCACCCCATAAAATTGGGTTATAAGTGACATTCTTTACAACACAAGGGAGGATGGAAAGACTGATTGAATAAGAAGTTCTTTCAGTTTGTTCGTTTCCATATTTTCTAAGAGATAGGCAACATCAAACAACCCTACTCTAGTATTCAATAGGTGCAATTGTCTCATAGAGCAGGGAAAGAGTATATCAAATTGGAAAGTGTTAGAGCCCACATAAAATCAACAAGATATGATGAGGTGGTCAATTGTCTCCACAAAATAATGGCATATAGTGCAGTTTGCGATTCTTGGCCCTTCTCCCTCTCTTTCTTTAAATCAAGAACCATTTCAATGTGGAGTTTAATATTTACAGGAAGGAAAATTAAGTCTAGATGTTGTCCCAAAGTTTTCCAAGTGTTCTGAATATATATATATATGATGAATGTATTATCATTGCAAACTAATCATGTGGTATATGCAAGGGACATGAATGTTATTGAATAATAAACAAAAAACATGGATCTATCGAGATTACAATGAAGCTCTTATAGGAAGATCGACCAAGCATAATCAGTGATATCTTTAGAGGACAAGTAACCATCCTCCTGCAACAGGAGGATTGACTGGTCAATCACTAGCTGAAGGTGTGAAATCTTGGTCCAAGACTAGTTTTGGCCCTTGGATTGACTGGTCCCATGAAGGGTATAATATGGTGTACCATGTGTTGATATCCTCCTGTACCCATTACAATGGGTCCAATTTCAAAACTAGCTGCAAATAAATACAAACCAGATTTAGGATTTTTCTTTTATGGGTTTGACCTAATAGGAGCTAATAATTGGTAAATAAACATGAGTTTTGACTATATTATGAGTGAATAATGAATGAAAAATATGTTTCAAGTACGGATTACATGAAAAGAACATGTCAATGAGTACTTTAAAGTCCTGAACATGACATTTTAAATAAAAAAAAGAACGTCATACCTCGACAGTTAGTGATTAGGCATTGTCTAGAAGCTATCATGGGGTTGCCTGATTGGGTCAACAGCTCTTAATGATTTAGAGCATCCATTAGAAATAAGCCATAACCCTTAAATTTATCCCACTTTTACAGAAAGATCAACTAGTCATGACTAATGATATCTCTGGGAGACTGGAGAACTGTCAGTTGATTTCTCATGAATGGAGGTTTAACAGCCAACCAATGGTCATCGTATCTAAAGGCTAGCTGTGATTCAACTATTGTCAACTAGGTCACAATTTGATGTTCGTATGCCTCATGAACCTTTTAAGTAAACCAAGAATACTGAATCTGGTCTGGCGTATGTGGTATCTCCCATAGGATACGTGGATGAAGCAAGGTGTCCAAGTCAAGAAAGGGGCTAAATCTGCACTCAGCTGAGTCAAACCAGGTTATGGACTGCTACCAGATGATAGATCTCAAAGTGTACTGAACCTATATCAACATATAGGAGTCAGCATACCAAGTTTCGCTCTAGTCCTGAGTATAACACTAGTATAGCATGGTGCACATGCCAAGATTTCATGGACCAGTATATACAATCTAAACAGAGTGATACAAACTGGTATGACTATTCATGCTCTTGAGCTTCCATATAAGCTTACAATCAGGGTTTTGAATACCGGTCCGTATCAGCGTACCGAGCTCTGCTCGGTACGGTACGTATCGGTATATACCATCAGTACGTTAGGGCATACCGATGGTACACCCTAAAACCTTAAAAATACCTTCACCTACCATGTCAGGGCGTACCAATTGGTATGTCTTGGTAATAGTCGAAATCTGGGGCGGTACTGGTCGGTACGCCTCGGTACCGATCAAAACACTGATACTGTCAGGTAGAGGATGGTCCGCGTACCGGTATCTTCTCGAACCGATACGTATCGCTCGTACCAGGCGGTTCACATCGAAATTGTGAACCCTGCTTACAATAGTAACTTATAAAGGTAATCAGAGAACTGGAACCAAAAAATTAACACTACACTTTGTCATTTAATTAAAAATTATAATTCATCTCATCAATAGGCACCATTCAACTTAGCAAAAGGTGATCCTCTTGGAAAATTGAACTGATTTCATCATATGGAATAGGATTTCCAATGGAAAACTTATTAGTGAGAATTTATCAATTTACCTATTTGTATATATTGTTTTAATTGAACTATGTAATATTTTATCCAACCAAGCATAAGGTTGATAAATTAATTGGAAAATAGAAAACATTACAGTTTTACTAATGCAGCATATTAAAGTAGCATCACCATACATGGCATTGAAACATTGCTGTGATAATTCAAAATCCAAATATCTTAGTAGATATGCACTACACCTGCAAGAATTCCTTCCAACCAGTTGGCTCAATTTGTCCTATTCGTTTACTTAAGCGATTTGATCTAGCATTCAGGCGTTCCATTTTCTCTTTTATAAACTTGGTCATATCAATGATCTTCTTAAATTCTTTAAACCCTTTGGTATTTGTTATCTTTTTCTTCAATTGAGAGACTCTGCTTCTTTGTTCCTTGTAACGTCCAACAGCATCTCGGTATGCTTCAGATTGATTTGCCACCTGTCACAATAATATAAAGCAACCTCCTCAATCATCATCATTCAACAAATTATGTTCATATGCATGTCATTCACAATTCAACAATATTATAAGACCTGGACAACTAATTTTCTTGATTGATTTTGACTTCTTAAGTCCTTTAAACAAAAATATGAAGTTTTTAAATCAAATAGCAGAAAATATTAAAATAAAATTCATTAGGATTTTGAGGCATGAAGTTTGTTGCGGAAATGGATTTATCCTAAAAAGATTATGATTTAACCACAGAATCTGTTGATGATTTTAGCATATCCTAGTTATAATAGTTTAACAATACTTTTTATTGCTGCAGCCAATCGAGGCTATCTTTATGTAAACAAAGGAAGTGGACACTCAACCAATATATAACAAATTAACCATTTCAGAATAAAAGCATAGTGCAGCCAGTCAAGGCCATCTTTACAAGAATGAAGAAAGTAGACACTCGAGCAATATATAACAAATTAACCAGTTCAGGATAAAAGCATAGCAGGCATAACTTGGGATAGATAAAAACCTCATCGTCCTCCGAAAGGCTACTCAATACAGGAACATTTAAACTCCATGACCATGTCTCAAGAGAACCTCCAATGGACCATAATGACCCAAATTCAGAATCAGCAATCTTTTCCCACTGCAGATCTTCCTTGATGAGAAGGTTCCTCAACATTTCTCGTGGTAGAATATCACCATCAAGTGATGAGATGTTTGGAAACCCTGTTCTATATATTGTTTTTAACCATTTTTCTGTAAAGAGATACCATGAGTTATCTGAACTCAAAGCCACATAATATGCTGGTTTGCCATCTTCATGACTTGCAACATCTCTAGAACCTGTCTCCAAGTTGTCAAAATCAGAAGAATCCAACTTAACCTGTAGCAATCAATATTTTGCATCAATAATGTTTTTCCATCTTTCCAACAAAGCAAAGAAAGGTGCAACAAAAACACAATTAGGGGGAAAATGGAACCAATGCCAGCTGGAAGGACCTGCCTTCTAATATATATGTCCATGAAAACATGTAAAATATGTACTACAGCAATTGATCAAAAAAGAATCTGAAACCAAGATTGCGAACCAACATGTTAAACATGCAGGACAAAACGATACACATTACCTGAATACATCCAATTAACTCACCTTTCTAATCATAATCTCCCACCAATAAATTCTAACGTGAAACCTTTATGTCAATTCCATCTAAGTGATTACTTAAATATCGATCAAACAATTTATTTCAATTCTTTCCATCTTTACCGGTCAAGAAATATGTATTTATTCACTAGAGATGGTGCTTTCACATTTTTATTAAGATCTCCATTAAAATATTTGCATGATGCCACTTAAAAAGTTATGAGATGTAGCAATAAGATAGCACTTGAAATGAAAGTATTAGCACTAGCAAATGTAGAAATATACAAAAATTCTAGGTTTTTAACACTGACCATATTCATGATCTTCTGGACAGAAGAAGAGCTAAGTTTTCCAACATATACAGCAGGTATATTGTGCTGAACTCCTTCCTTGTCTTTATATCGCAAACAAATAAATGGAAGGTTTCCACTTCCAAACTTATCTAAAAGCGGTCTCCAAGCAGCCATTCTTTTGATCTCCATCTGTCGTCTGAGTTCAGTCCTTGTTCGTTTCTCAGCCTGAGAGTTTAGTTAAGCACTTCAGAACTGGGGACATAGCAAACATTTTGTGCCGAAAACAATCAAAATTTACTTCTAATAAAAAAAAGTAGCAAACGTATTAATTATGCACTAACATTCAAGATGCATCATTTCTAACTTCTTGAAAATGATGGTTCTTGTAGTTTCTATAAGTATCCTTGTATGTCCATTATCACATTATAAGAAAATTTTCCACATACACAAAACAGTATGGGAAGTAATTTATTTAAATCTTAATACCAGCACTTCCCCATGAAGATTTCATGTCCAAACAACTGATGGAAGAATCAAGGACTAACTGTAAATATTTTATAGTTTGGTTTATTCTAAAGATGTACTTATATTTATTTCTTTAGTTCAAGTCATAACTTTTACTAGGCAACATTTATTTGTCCAGAACATTTAGGTATCCTGGTACATAACAACGAAGAAAAATCCATGAAATCAGTATAAATAAACATTCATTCACCAAAACATTGAAAAAGCAATTCATCTTTTTAAACTCAAATTTTGATATCAGAACATATCCCATCACAAATTACGTATTAATAAAAATAAACAAAACATTATTAACTGTTGAATGCAAACTGAATAGCAACTCATAAATCAATACAAAAATTAAGTGCTTGACTCAATAATATTGTAGTAACCTCAAACTTCAAAATGTGACAAGAGAATGATACCCTTAATTCTTCTTGCAGTTTAGAGATCTCAGCATAATCATTCTCAGATAACTGTTCCTGGCATTTTCTATCAATAGCATCTTCAGTAACTTCCACAGAAAGCAACTCAATTTCATGTTGTATTTTTTCAAGCTCTTCTTTGGCAGCTTGCATAACATTACTGCCAACATAATTTCCAAAGCTTTGCTCCACTAGCTTTCGAGCTTCTTCCAGAGTTCGTCCACAGTGAGAAAGTTTTGTACCATCTGGATCATGAAGCTTACGAGTAACCTTTGCACCCTATGGAAAACATGGTGACAACATATTACAACAAGCACCTGAACAAGAAATTAACAGGAGATAAACATAACCATACTACGTACAGCAAGGAGATTCAAAACCATCCCGTATGAAGCAGTAAATTGTGAAACAAGAGGTTCAAGCCCAGCAGAAAGTAGCTCATAGCACTCCTCAGCTCCTTCATAGGGAGTCTGTATAAGAACAGCATGACCCACTTCATCAATGCCTCTCCGACCAGCACGTCCTGCCATTTGGAACAGTTCATTTGGGCTTAGAAATGTGCGTCCAGTTTCACCCTTTTTGCTAAGTGAGGAGATTATAGCTGTTCTAGCAGGCATATTTATCCCAGCAGCAAGTGTTTCAGTAGCAAAAACAACTTTTACTAGACCCCGCTGAAACAATTCCTCAACAAATGATTTCCACAGAGGCAGGCATCCAGCATGATGTGAGGCAATTCCATGCAAGAGACCTTTCACAGCAACTTCTCTGACAGCATCAGGATACTGCTTCTTAAACCTCCTATATTCAAGTTCGACTTCACCAGCCTCACACTCATCTAAAAGCTTGCAATCCTCAAGATACTGAACAGCAGCATCACATCCTCTTCTACTAAAAATAAACCAAATAGCTGGAAGCATATCCCGCTCTGCAAGGTGCCATAAGGTATCTTTAATCTGAGGAACCTGATGCATAAAGTATAATCTCAGAAGATATGTGGTTAAAGAAAAAAACATATGGTTGACAAAAAGCATATTTTGATGTTAGTTAAACAAGCAAGCATTAACCTGCAAACTTAGAGACCACAAGTGAATAAAGTCTATACCTGTGAACGGCGAATATAGTTCATATCATTTTTTGACAATGGTGTCTGTTGTGAGAGACGAGCAACATTACTATAACCTCGTTCAACCTTGCCCATTCTGTGCTTCTTAGTTTTGCTTTCATTGAAATGTTCACCTCTTGAAATGGATGTTTGCAAATAATCCAGTGAGAGCTTCCTTCAGCAGCATACAAATAGATCAAAAGCCACAGATCAATTTCGAATTTACAGCTAATAAACAAAAAGCTACAGAAGACTCAGCTAGCATGATAATCTCTAGGCCTACATCACAAAAATCAGATCAAACTATTCAATGAAATTCTATGCTAAACTAAATGTCAATGTATTTCTTTTTCCCCATTTTGATGCAATTGAAGTATGGACAACTTGAAATCAATTACTTCTATTTTTCTCTCCCCTCTTTGGATATATTTTTTGTTAAAATCTGACACAATAGAAAGAAGAAACAAGCATAGTAGATATGATTAAAAATAAAACTCTTGGACTAAATGGACATAGTATTAAAAGAAATTAAATATATCAGCATCAAAGTTGCTGATCATCCAGTAAATACTATCAAAGATTCTGGCATGAGAACAATCTCTAACCTTGTAGAGTTTAACCATTTCATGGTTAATTATATACTAGAAAAAGATGATGCAAAATAATCAAATTAAAGATCACAAAAGGTCATCAAAATAACTGTTAGCACCATAGTATATCACAATATGCCTAGAAACTTGAGTGTTATTTTCACATTGATAAAAGACTAGAATTTAAAACATTCCAATAGTTGACCCTCCAAAAGAGGTCAACAACTCAACTCTGTTAATTGAGCTTTCTGTTTCCATATTCCAGTATTAGTGATATTTTTAAGGTGAACATCAAGTTACCAAGAAAAAGCATTCAAATGGAACATACTAGGTGGAGAGGATATGATGGATGAACCACAATTTGTTATAGAATAAATTATAAATTCATTCAGGAGGTTGGAAAGAATTTTTCTAAACTTGTACAAAAGAATTTAAAACAAAGCTTCGTATGAGCAATGGAAATCAGTCATCATTTGGTGTACCACCCAGTATAGATAAGTAAAGACATTAACATGATCATCTAAAATATAAAAAAAGCAAACTAAGAAAATAGTTGCACACAGCTTCAAACAGTTGTATACCATATTACCATATAGGAAAATTTCTGGACAACAACTGAAGTATGAAGAGGTAATTACCTATTCATTCTTTTCCCTTTCTCATCAAAAAGAGGTAGCAGAGAGTTCTTCAGCGAGAAGTGCCAAGTAAGTGGGACCGGTCGTTTTGTCGATGTTACCAACTCTGTTTTACCATGAATCTGTGTCAAACAATGAAGGTTGGAACATTTGGTAATACACAAATTACAATAAAAGAAACTATTAAATTTATCTTGATAATTTTCTAACACATGGATTTGTCACATATCACCTTAGAAACTGCCTCAAGCCAATTTAAGTATTATTTTCACAATGTATCAAGCCTACTGATTAGATGGTTCTACAATTAAACTCTTTTGGGCATCAAGACTTTTGTATGATCATTGTGAGCCCCTTAGATTAAGTAAAATATAGTTGTAAGGTCAGTTGTATTTTATGTATTAGAGCAAAGGGAAATTAAGAAATAATATGTATAAGAAATTCGTGTAGAGCTAACAATGATTAGAATGTTATTGTGGATGGAGTTACTAGAAAAGATAAGAAATAATGACATTAGGGAACAATAAGGTTAAGTTGTAGAAAAGGATAAAATACAAGAAACAGTCTATGATGAGATGAAACATGTTCAAAGGATATCTATGCTATGCTCAGTGCTCTTAATTTAATTAGAGAATAGAGATGGCATTACACAGAGGTTAATGACACAAAAAGATCATGTAACTGACATAAAAAAGTTCGGACATTACAGCTTCTAGTTGTTATGTAAATCTTTTATTAAGTAGAGTTTGCACACACATGCATCTATAAAAAGATTAAAATTATGCATTAACCTTCTAGCATCTGTAAAAAGATCAGCATACCACCTACTAGTTGCCAAAATCAATGCCAAACCAGCATACAAAGCCTAGGTAAGAAGTACATTTGTCATGTATGAAATTTAACTTCTTGCTAGCATATCCTTGAAAAGAACACATATGCTTTTAAATTTTTAGGGATTCGTCTTGACTTGTATACTTGAAAGTTAAGACTACTTCTCTCGATAACCAGGAACGAAGGATCTACTTTTAAATTGAACATTAAAGTTTTCTTCGTTGCATGAGATGGCTATTATTTTGCAATAAAGTCTGTCGAGGTTCATTTGCATCTTAGAACTTCTGAATGCCATTCCTACAAATTTCAAATTGAACCACACTGTCAGGCCAAGGACATTGTTCTTTCAAGAGGGTAAATTTCAGAGAGAAAATTATGACTTACCTCAGATAGTTAAATGTTTCTTGTGAGGAACTTTTGACTTTTATCTCTTAGAGAGAACAGTCTATATAATCTGTCGACAAAGAGTTCAAGTTTACCTTCCAACCCTTGTTTACAATTCGGTTGAACCATTTAACTATTTGCAATTAGTGTTGTAGGAAACTTCTTTATCCCTCTGGCCATGAGTATAAAATGTAAACAGGATCTTTGAGTGACACAGGTGTGAATATAATGAAGTTGGTCAGTGTAAAGGAAGATGATATGACTGCAATAAAGATGTCAGCATATAAATATTATGTGCAGACCAGCAAACATTGTCAAAGTAGGGGCAGGGACAAGGTTGAACGTTCCCCTTCTTTTGTTGCATATGGTGTGTTTACGTGGACATGAGTCCTTTTCCACTATTAATATATCATTTCAATTAAAATTAGATTTTTCATAGTTGAATCAGTATGACACAAGATCCTAGGTTGAATAGTTCGAGGAGTTTTCTACATAAAATAAATTGGAAAAAAGAACTCTTTAGAATGTTCACTGTTCCAGTCCAGATTTCAATAAATTAGCATCAATAGCAAGCATCTTCCTTGACATGATAAATTACATACCAAGAACTAGATGCAGTCTATGCATTACCTGCCCTATCCAACCAGCCAATTCATCGGGATTTGCTACTGTAGCTGAAAGACAAATAAGCTGGACTTCTTTTGGGGAATATATAACCTGATTAATTTTGTATCAGTTCATTCAGATCAATAATAAGCAGTTCAAATTTCAAGCAACACAAACTAACTATAGCATTACTTACTATTTCTTCCCAGACTGTCCCCCGAGATATATCACTTAGGTAGTGCACTTCATCCAAAACTATCACATCAACATGAAACAATCTACTTGCAGAAGAAATCATTCCTACACTGAAATCCACAGTACTAATCAGTAATCACTGATGTGCACCATCAATTTATTTAGAGTATCAAGGACAAGGAAACACGAAGTATGGAAAAAGAAGTGATAAGAGAAATGCATAATGACTATTCACTAATTTTGCATGTTACCTATGATGACAAGCTAGTAGATCCATTATATTATATCACATACTTTCTTATCATGTGATTGCTTATTTCTTTTTATTTTTAGCAAAATACAAAACTGCTAGTTAATTTATGCTTCAAAACAAGATATTTGAATTATTCTAAAAAAATGGAAACATTGCATGATAGGGCACCATACGATGGACCAAAGTTTCAAATCTCAACTGTACCAATTTGTTTTGACCATGTTTATTGGTTTGATCAAGCCCTAGTTGGCCAAATGGGACAAGTGGCTCGATGTTGAAAATAGGTTTTTTTTTCACAATTTGTTTGTATCATGTGTGATATGCTAACTCCATTTCACATCAATACTAATATATCAGATCTTGGTCATTACTTCTAGTTGAAAAGAGAGCCACACCAAGATGATCCTCTCTCTTGACATCATTTTATTAGTGGCACTCAAGGAAAGGTACAAGTAGACCTCATCCATGGGACCAAATATGATTACAGGCACCATCCATTTCACACCTGTTACATAGATGACATCAGTTCTTTGTGTGGGCAAGGGAAACAAATTGCAAGACTATGCTACAAGTAATAAATCATATGAGTTGGCATTTGGTTACTTGTGAATTTATCAAAGACTGAGGTCAATTACACGGCCAATATGCAACTCAAAGTTGAAGCTCATCGTCTCCAAATTCTTCGAATTCAGCAGACAAATCAGCATTACAAGCATTGGGGTTACATCATGTCTTAGGATTAAAAGCTAAGATGTTTGATGTTTTGGTTGATAGGTTATAAAAAAATGTTAAATGACTGAAAGGAAAAAATTTAACACGAGCTAGGAAGGAAATCTCAATCAAATCAATTACCCAACCAATTCCCACTTATGAGTTGCTTCAAGCTTTCACTTACTACATTACTATAAGACAAGCTATTAGAAAGTTTTCATGGGAATGAAGGGAAACGTTGAAGAAATATGTTTGGTTAATTAGAACAATATGTGGTAACAAGTCTGGAGGTGAACACAATTATTGAATCTCAATGTACAACTAATGGAACTTGAAGGTACTTGTGGAAGTCATTTTATAAATAAATCAAATACATCACTGGAAGGAGTATATATGAAGTTAAGACCATTCGTAGGCAAACATGTAGATTACTTATCTAATGAATTTGCCATTAGTACAGGATTTCATCAAGAATCAACTTTAAATCTTTACCATTTTGCATTGGTAATGGACAAACTTATCATATTCAGGCATGTTGATCATCCTATATGACAGTTCATGTTGATCCTGGGGCATAAGAAATTAGCTTCTGTAATCACTTAAAGAGTACCTTTTATAGAGCATGTTGCGTAAAATCTCCGTAGTCATGATTAGTATTGGTGCTTCTTTGTTGATAGCAGAATCTCCGGTTAGAAGCCCAACATAAGCATCACCAAATGTCCTCCTGAAAGAATTGCAAAGAATCAAAGTAGAATAATTAACTATGGCATAAATGAATAGAAACTTCAACAATATTGAATATAGATTAATTTCGACAAAGACAGAATTCAAACAATTTAAGAGGTAACCTATGCTAAATTATCAAAGTGATCTTAGTTGTTCAGTAACAAGTATCTTTTGGTTAGCCTAATTGCTAAACTCTGACTTCAAAGAAGACATTGTGGGCTAGAAGATTTTTAAGTAAATAACCATCACAGGACATACAATTGAATGGCCTCTAACCTCTGTTGATGGCATGAAAAAACAACTATATTGCAGCCATGACACTGCATAGCAACTAAATGTTAACAACTGAAATAGGCTTTTACGACACCTGCTACCATCCCCTCAATGTAATAAAATTACCACAAAGGAGTTCCTTTAGTTGATCATTCTACAAATCCACCCCACCTTACTCTTCTCCTGTCGTTTTTCTTTACTCTTTTTTTTTAATTTTCTAGGTTTCATTATCTTCTGTCTCTATTTCACCATTGTGACCATTTCAACATGTTATGCAAGTGAATCAGTTCTGATCCTTAGAAATGACATCATTGCATAGCCGTAATTTTAAGTCTTTGCTATTAATTCATCTGATTTGCTGAATGTATTTATGATTACATAAAGCGCTCAAGTTAAATTTCAGCTTATCCTGAAAGGGTACAAAGAGCCATCAAAACCTTGGGAGAAATAATGATCTAGTAAGCACAGAAATATTATAATTAAATCGCTTAGAACTTTACTTGTTAACATGAACTAGTGATCTCTTTCATCAAACCCCCAATTGCAACTATGTTAATCAAATTGCTTCCTACATACTGGATTCTAAAATCTTCAAACAAAAACTTGTGGTTACTACTTACTAGAAGATTCTTTGACACAGTTTTGCCAAAAATTTAGCCTTGATTAACTATAAGCAATGTTAAAAAAGGATAAGTAGAGCAGCCAGACTGAGATAGTATTTCATACAATTATATAAATTCTCACCATATTTTGCAAGAAATTATTCAGACTAATCAGGCCTTCTTATGACAAACCAGATGGTGCTGCAGGCCTCAAAGGTTTTTTTCTTTTTCATCTGTCTAACAGGAATGCTTCATCATTTGTGTATATGTTTATTGATGATTATGTAATTAGTGAATCCTTGTATTTCTTGTGAGATATCAACTTAAAAGTTAATTCAACAATCATTAGGAATTTTTTGAACTCTTCTTGGAAGTTGATGATATGATTGACTTTTCTAGAATATTACAGAAGTTATAAGTGGCTTCAAATGATATGATATGATGCCTCATTACGGTGCTCAATTCATCTTTATTGGTAATACTCACTGTAGAAATTTTGTTGTGGCCCTGGTATAAATAGTCTATTTTGAATTAGGTTGACATCGTTCAAGTTTTTCCAGAGATTTATATTGAGTACTGTCTTTTAAAGTCAAGGTCATGTATTAGGTTGTTTGCAGTTTTAAACTGTGGTTTGAAATGTAAAAATATTTCCTTGTTATGCTGTTCAGAAAATCTCTAAATATCCAAATATGGGTCAGATGTTGGATTTAGGTCAGCTTCAGTCCTTAGACACAAAGCTCAAGGAATGGCCAAAATGCACTACATAATGTGCCTTGAGATGATCAGGGCATGAGAGCAGTTGAAAGCTTCCCTGAATAATATTTAGTATTTTGGCAGTTTATCTCAAGATAACTTCTACATATTCTTATATTAAATGGGTAGAAGTATTTGTAAGAGGTCTATTATTCTGCCACTGAAAAAGCTATCAATTGACCAAAATATACCGGAAATCACGAAACTTTTGATTTGACAGAGCCTTCAAAGGTGTTGTGTAGAAAAGCCTCCTTCCTCTGGCTACGGTGGCTACTGCAGCAGCTTCAGCAATTAAAGTCTTCCCACTGCTTGTTGGCGCAGAAACAACAACAGATGAGCCTCTCAAGAATGCTTGAATAGCTAAACGCTACACAAAATGCAGAAAGAGAAGTCAGAAAAAAGAATAAGGAGAGAATGGAACAACTATAATTAGATTGTCAAAGAGTGTGAGTGTCATCTTTCTGACAATGACATATTTTCAATTCAAAGTATAGTAGAAACCAAGGAATGCAATTTTTCCCAGTTCAATATGGTACAGCCGGTATTTACTGGTCCAACCACCGACCATCTCATGGATCAGCTCATGTGCAATACAAGGCGTACCACTCGCTAAACTGTACAAACATGACTGTCACATCCTTTGTTAGGTTAGCCTAAGGCATCCGATATTCAAATGATACTTAGCCTGCAAAGGACAGCCTAGACCTTAACCTCGTATAGTCCACTGAGGATTTGCACAAAGAAGAAAGGTTAGAAAAGCAAACACACAAGTACTATATTTTCATCAAGCACAAAAAAGGAAAACAAAATTAAGATTGCAAACAACACAAAACAACTAGATTTTATTATGCATAAATGGCTCAAGCAAATGGACTGAACAATCACACACAAAGAGGATTTTGAAGGCAAGTGAAGGCCGAGTGTTCACCTAGCATTTTCAATTGGAGGGTTTCTGGTGAGTCCTCTACCTTAAGCCACCCTTGTTGACCTTAGTAGAGTTCATCCATGTTCACTTGGATGAGGTTGAGGTGAATCTCGACCTTTGTGAGCCTTTTCCTGTGCTTCCACAACACCGGCACTGATTGCCTCCCCATGAATTCTCATCTGGCCTTCAACTGCAGTGTGCAGGGAGGTTGCTCCTTCTGTGTGACCATGCTTTTCTGCTTTGATACCAAATTTCATAGACTTAGCTATATTTGTCTATGTCACACGATGTTCACATACACAGATATCGCAAGGGTGTTATGCGATGCTGAGTAATGTACTTGGACTGGACTAGGTGGTAAGGCCAATGTATTTTTTATTTTCTCAAATTTTAAAATAAAAAATAAAAATCCTAAGTTCCTAATCTCTCATGTGTACTCCCCTGTGTCCACATATGCTATCGCTCACATCCCTCGCCGCTTGTGTCCATTGCAGGTATGCTCGCATGTGTCAGCCCGCGTCTCCCGTTGCCAGCCCTAGCAATTGGTACTCTTCTTCTCTTTCTCATCCTCCTCCACTGCCTTCTCCCCTCCTATATTTTGTCGCCTCCTTCCCTCCTCTCCTTTCACACAATAGCCTCTCCTCCTCCTTCCCTCCTCTCCTTATGCATCACCGTCTCTCCTCCTCGTCCTCTGTCCTCCGCAGCCTCCTTACCTCCTACTCTCATTTTGCCTCGTCACCTTTCCTCCCTTGTTGCCTCCTTCCCTTCTCTTTTCCTTCGATAGTTCTATATCACCATCTCTCTTCTTCCTTCCCTCCTCCATTGTCTCTGTCCATTCTAATTTTTAAAAATCCTTAAATAGGATTTTTTTTATTTTTTATTTTTGAACCTTTTTTCATAAACTGATACATACTGATACATCGAGAGTGCCAGTCTACCATACCGACGCTATATACCAAGGTCCGATACGAAATTGCATTTTTAATAGAAATGATGAAAATTTCCCTATAGCATTAAATGTATTAGGCACGTAGCCAAGTAAAGAAATAGGGTTAAAAAAATTAGAACCAATTCATAGCATGACAAATTAAGCAAAGCAAAAAACAGACTACTGCAGCCAAAATTTATTTCTTCCAAAAATAGATTCTTCGGCTTGGAAAATTACTAAAATATACACTAGGACATAGGATCTCAAAATCATCAAACTTAGTTTTGGAAGGTTACATGATGCAACCCCTACCCAACACAAGTCATTACAGATAAGAACACTACCAGACTTATTTCAAGCTCAAGCCACCTTGATTGTGTGCTTCTAAAGGTCCTAGATAGGCAAATTTAGCCGACAAGTGATCCAAGAAACACTGTCATTTGTTATGACAATGTTTGATCCTAAAGCGAACCCAGCAGCCCCAGGCTTGACCTCAGCATTATCAGCATTGACATTAATAGAGTCAAGCCACGTGGGGAAAAACCATATGGTGTGATCATCCTGTACTAGAAACTATTCTGCCACTAGGTGCAGCCGTAGGGCTAAATGAGCCCTACAGCAAAAAAAAGAGCCTAATATGTCAGTTAATAGATGATTGAGCATGAATCTCTCGGGAATCATATCCTACAGAGACTTGGTAGGATTTAGAAATTATTTTCTATTATAAAAGAGGCTAAAATCATATCACACGCAGAGTTTCAATGACATTTTATTTTGAACTAAACAGCCACAAAATGTATATTGGAAGCCCAAGAAGGGTCCACAACAGGTCTATGAGCGGGTAAAAAGAAATGGAAGAGAAAAATTCTTCTTTGAATTGGAATACTTCCACTTTTATTTTCAATGGCTAGTTCAGTGGGTAAAAGGAATTCTATTATTAAATTGGTATCAACAGACCCTACATAGACATAACATAGGTTAGCCACTTTATTTTACCACCAAAATTCATATTTTTGAAATTTCTACATGTCTCTTTCAGCATGTATAAAAATTAGTATAGCAGATATGAGATTGAAAAAAATGAATAAGCAGACTATCCAGAAAAGATAGGATAAAATTATGTTTATATGCAAACAATTATATATAATTCCTGTAGAGAATAAAATGATAGTGAAATATTTAGGACAATATGAACATATTCAAAGAAAACGTGATTACCCTAATTAGAGAAGGTGAGTCAATTAGGTGTATGGATACAAGGCGAGAGACACAACGAGACCTAAGACACAAGAAAAACAAAAAAGAAATTTAATTACACTTAATTAAACTAGATACATGGCTTATACAGAGATCATTGGTGAGAAAACATCCATGTCATACCCATCCCAAATAGTTGGCACGTTATGGTTTGTTGTTGTTGTTGTTTGGGACATTAAGGCTTATTGTTGTTGTTAAACAAGAAAAGAAATAATTTAACAAAAAAGCAAAAAATAAATTTTGCCGTAAACTAAAAGATTGTTCAGATTGGACAAGGTAAAGAACCTGAAATTTATCAATTGGGAAGTCATATATCCCTGCGAGCTCCTCATAATCAATAATCTCTTCACCAAACTCCCTAACTTCAGCAAGAAGCCTGGTCACTCTTTCCCACTTGTGTTCCTCGAATTTAGCAGATGGCCCCGCCTCCGCCTCAAGCTGAGCAGTCTCACCTTCTCTCTCCTCCTCTTCCCGGTCGACATCGGCCAGCAGCCCATCATCGTACTCCATGGCAGCAACTTCGTCATCGTCGTCGTCTTCTTCATCCTCGTCCGTATCAGATAACTGCTCCCTTATTGGAGAAGCAGAGCCTAAAGGGTTCGCACAGAGAGGGACAAGATGCAGCCTCGCTCTTGGAGAAACGGCGGACCGGGGACTGAGGAAACGGAGGAATCGGTAGCGGCGGCGAGAGGTAGGAGGAAGGAAGGAGTCGAAGAGGCAAGCAGGAGAGGAAGAAGAGCAAGGCAGCGGTAAAGCGAGGGAGAGCATAGCGGGGGCAGCAAGTGGAGTGGAGAGGCCGAGAACGCATGCGTCGGCTTATCATCATTTTCTTTATATGGGATGTCTGATACCAAGTCATCACATTGTATTACCGCAACTGCGAGAATTAATTGCCCGTATCATAGGTTATATAGCGTAACGTGGATACGCTATTACCATTTATATGGAGAATGCCAAATATTCTAAAAGAGAGATGCCTTTTACATAAAAAGATAACACAGCTAAAAATGAAAGCCGGATTATCTTGACTATCGATCCATCAATCTCAAATTGAAGGTGTCATTTGGTCTTTTATTTTGTTTCCTTTGTGGTGAATATAGCACTTTGAATTACACAATGCTACATCCGATATCCAAACTTTGTTCTTTCTTTTCTTTCCTTTGACGAAATATGTTTTAGTTATTAATCTAACAGTTTGTGCTCTCGAAGAATTGGATGGGCATTTACTATGGTTTGTACCTTTGGGGTCACTTCCATCTCCAAACGAGCCTTGAAGGAGACTGTGGCACCAGAGTAGCAAAACACATAGTTAAAGGTGACTAAATAATCAATTACAGTTCTTTCTCTCGTCTCACAAGCTCCTAAAATTACTAGCCACGTTGCCTCTGCTCACATTTGCAGCTCTGTTTCAGCGAATCATTGGGAAAAAAGAAAATGAAAGTCACGTTTTATTGACTGCAAGATCTTCCACTGTGAATTTCTAATGACGAGTGCATTCTTAAAGCTTTAACAAAAAACATTTGCTCTAAACTTGGATTAATCTTCTTGGGAGGATGTGACATCAGAATGTCAAGTTTGCCATTAAGAAAGATCTCAAGGTTGACGGCCTCTTTGGCAACTTACGCTCTAGCTAAGCCTGGGCTCCAAGTTCCAGAAGTAGGGTGTGATTCACATCCCCTGATCCTGGACCCATAAACTGAATGGGGCCTGCAAAGAAAAGTTCGATAAGAAAGGACATTTAGTTCCATATGTTAAAGGTGCACTTTACAAAGAACAAAGCTGGCAGATAATGAAGAGAATGATACCAGGGCTTATATATCTGTTTTTGAGAGCCCACTCGTCTCGCATGGATGCAAACTTTCCAAATGGTGCACCTTAAGTAACAATTGTATTGATATTGGAAATAAATTCAAGAGTTTGATTTTGAAAAATACACTGGACAACAATATGAGCAACTTTTTACTATACCTTCGAGTTCCACCATTGCCTTTTTTATCACTGGCTTGAACTTACCTGGAATGAGTTTTCATCTCATGAGAAATAAACACAAAGTAACAAATTAATGCTGGAATGATGTTTGGAACAAGCCATCTTGACACTTGGCCTGAGTCATACATCAACAGTCATTGTTTATTGGTTTATCTGTAAGTATTCTGTAATTGTAAACTTTAAGTGTTTAATTTACATGAAGTGATGGATGGACAACTGCAGTTTAATTACTTGAATTATTTGTTCTCCTACACTGAAAGGATACTTAACACTTTGTCTTCTTTTACTGAATAAGTTGTACAGTCTGCAAATTATGACCAGTATATCATAAATAGTGAAGAAGGAACAGAAGTATTGTTGGTGATCAGCAAACAGATGATAACTGATAATTTAGTGGTGACAAGTGGTCAATGAGTAGGCTGTTAGCCGATCATTGCTGATTGTCAATAGATCATAAATAGTTGTCAAGGCAACAGATGATCGTTATGGTTGATAGGAAAAACGTGATCGCTGATTAACCATCATGGATGATCAGCAACCATCAGATCACGATTGCCAAATGCTTGTGGCATTTGCCAAAGCAGCCAATGGTAGCCAATCACAAATTGACCATAAATCTGTTAAACTGTTAGCAACCAGCAGTTTATATGGATGATCTTTGGATGTCAACATTTCTCTGTTGTTGCCATGGTTGGCTATGGCTGGTGAAAGTTGCAAATAGGAAGGTTGGCTGGGCAACTGGTGAGTCACTGATTGTCCGTTATCTAATACCGTAGTCATATGCAGATCATCAAGTGCAGCCAACCTATAGCCAATTATAAGCAGTCAATAGTCAATTGGTGGCCAACTGGCAACTGCAATTTGTTTAGTACACCTTACCTGACCCAGACCTGATTCATTTAAGGTGATCTTTCAGGCTTTACAAGTTCTAATGGGTCAACGAAATGCTGAACCAGCAAGTAGATCAGGTGAATTTTGTGTTAACATATCTTTACTGAATATTTAGGTTGGTTCAACCCCATTCAGTCCTGATTTTTTACTTAAGAAAAGCACAATATTTCTTAACTTGTCAATCATATCAACGCAGCAACTAAATGGCTCAGGTCCAAGTCAAGAATTCTTGACCCATCAAAAAACTGGAGCTAGATTCAATTATTTTAGTTCTATATTCCCTTAAGTGCAAGAGAAAACATAGGAAAATAAGCAGCGAAATTAGGGTTTAAAGCAGTTAGCTAGTCAGGTTCGGAGCACTCACCCATCTTCCAGCTTTAGTAGTTCATCATCCTAATTGACCAAAACTAATATTTGGTCCAGGAAAGCTTATGATCTAGGGTTGAAGTAGTTAAGAGTTAAGATAATGGTACAAATCAAAAAAGCAATCTCATTAATCCAAAACTTAGTGATATTTTAGCAAATGATGTAACAAATCTACATAACATGATTGGTTTCATTGATTTTCCTGGCAACAATTGCCAAGTCTTATTTAGTGATCCTAAGTAACAATCAATTCCACCTCGGCCTCCTACATCCTTTTCTCCATTCTTTTCTCCATTTTTTCACCTTTCTTTCCTTTCTCAGTAAATTCCTTGAGTACTTAAAACATCAAGATGCATTATAAAATCTAGCGTATTATCTTGAACTAATAAATTTCATCATGTTAGCATCAAAGATTAACATTAATAATGCAGGGAGAAAATGGCTGCCAAGATTTATTTGATAATCCCCAAAGATCAACAACTCCTCCCCCTCCCACCACCTTTTTTCTTTCCTTCTCCCATTTTCTTTTTCTTTTTTTTTAACTTTCTTAGTAATTTCATGAACTTAAAACATTGAGATGCATTGTAAAGTTGAATGTATTACCATGAACTATGGAAGTTCATAATGTTAGCATTACATAGTAACATCAACAATGCAGGGAGAAAATGGCTTCTAATCAGTTTGGTAACTTTAATAATGTATGTCATTCACTGATGGGATAAAATAAATACATATGCTAGCAAAGAATCAACCACAAGCACAATCTTAGAGGCTAAATATTTCACAATCAGTAGGAATGACATAATTTAATCCACAGGATTATGCAATTATAACATATGGGCCATGAAATATACAAATGTAAAAGTTACTGATGCCTTTGATCCATTACTCAACATGTCCAAAAGCAATTTAAGTGTAATGTTAGTAAATGGTTAACCGATTAAGTTGGATGTTCTAAATCGATTTGAGATAAAACAAGGATTAGTAATTGTCGCAGAATATAAGAATTATGTTGAGGTGAAGTTTCTCATTTCCACTTTCAAGATTTTACAATAAAAGGACAGCAGATATATCAACAAGCTCAGTGGGGTGTGGCACCTAAGCTAAATTCTCTCATAAAGGAAGACAATTTCTAACAAACAAAAAGCTGCATCTCAACATGAAACTCCCAAACTTAAGCAATGGAAGCCTTCAAGAGTCGAAAATGAACATAAACTATGCACTAAGAAGAGAAAGAATAAAATAAGATGATATACCATGTCTCCTTTCAACATCCATCAATGAAGTCAATGCAGTCCCCCCAACTGTCCATTCCTCAACAGCAGCGCTTAAGTTACCAACCTAGATGCATCAGACCAAAAACAAAACTAGTTACTAAAACCAGTAAAAAGGACTTCACATTATTTCTTTATTAACAAGAAATCATGCAGAATTTTTTAACTCGAATAATAGAATGAGATAGTTGGAAGTATATAAGTACATTGCTTCATTCTATCTCAACAAAATATTCACGCAGCCAACTCCAAATAGTTGGGACATAGGGCTATGTTTTTGTTGTTGTTGTTGCCTCATTCTATATTAAAGCTTTTTGGGCAATTGTGACAAAAGAAGGCCAAATGTCATTAGTTGACCTACCAACATGAAGAATATGGCATAGTAAATTGGTAAAGTGAGAATAATACATAAATGCCAAGAGATTGTAATTCTTGCCACCATAGGAGTATCAATTGGTAAGGTACCCAATGATTTCAACCTACCCTAGCCTGAACCTGGATGATTAATTACCTAGGCACCCAGGCCAGAACTTGAACCTGACTCAGGTATCTATTTTCATACCCGAACCCATCTTAAACCTGATTAAAGGCCAAACATGGTTTAAGCAAGGCAGATTAATTAAAACCAGACTGGATCAGTTCTCATGTACAAGATCACATAATGGGATTCTAACCAATTACGGTTCCAACAAGTCATTTTGTCAGCACCTTTGCTTGTTGCCTACTTGTATGCTGAGCAGCTGCTGGCACATTACTACACCTGGCATTCAAAACGTTGGTGCCTCTGCACTTATATCTCCAGTAGAAACTTAGGCTAGACAATGTCAAAGCATAACCTTTTGTTTCAAACTTCAAAGCCCTTTAAACATATAGATATATCCAACAGGGCTGATGCTGAATTTGTATTGTCCAGTTCTTATATTTTGGTATCATTGAGAACTCGATCGATACTAGCTCAACTCTACATGCAAATACATAAACAATATGATACATACATAGGTATATACATTACAGTTCCTTAATTGAATTATTACATGGTATTTCATGATGTTGGAACATGAAAAGGAATTATGACTAGGGATAAGAAAATTCTTCAGAATAACAGTGATGATGGTAACATACTGAGGATATGAGACCTGTCTTTCCAGAACGTAACAGAACTCCTGCACCATAACCCAATGCATAGCAGTAGGTGGCATCAAAATTTGTAGGCAAGCCACATCTTCCCTCGTATCTGCAAATGTAAATTTCTAACCAGAACTAGAGAGCAAAAAGAAAAAAATATAATCTGACACAAAAGGTTATTCGCAATGCTACTAAAAAGGAACCTTATAATGTGTAAAAGGATTTCAATCAATGATAAGGGCATCCAATACAAATGGCTTCCTTCTACTGATAGGAGATCTAAAGAGGGTCAAATGTGTTCCTACATGTAAGGAAGCTAATTTGATGGTTCCAACACTTGATGCCTAGGTTTTGATGGAGCATCACTAGCACAATTCCAGGGCTCCGCCTCAGTTATCAATAGGTCCATCAAATCAAACCAATTCATTTAATATGTTATTCTTACCCAAAAAAGTGGGATTGTCCTTTGAAGTGTCCAGAGTATGTACCCTCCAATTTTCTTTTCTCCAGCTCAGTTTCGACCATGGAGATAAGCATTTTCTCAGTTTCAATTTTGGCAACCTGATCAAGTAATAGCAGAAGTCTTTGAACAAGATGAATAGCTAGCCTTCTTTTCAAAATCAAAGATCACACAGAGCTTTGATATGATGAACATTAAGTACAAATGTAGAATACATTACCTGCACATTTCCATGTGGATCTCTTTCTAGCAACAATTGCTCTTGGATTGCCTGGGGAAGAAATTCAAAGAGAAGCTGAGACTGATGTTGAAGTTTCTTTTTCCATAACCCCTCTTTGTCAACTACATCATGAGCTAGGATTTCATTTAGTTCTGCAATAAGTTGTTGAACCTGAAAAAAGGACAATCATATCAATACTCCGATGAAGATAATCCCTCAACAAATACATGAAAACAATGGATTTCTTATACCTCAGGAATAAAGTCAATTAATCCTTCTGGAATAAGTATGACGCCATAATTGTAGCCAAGTTCTGCTCGCTTGCAGATTATGTTAGTAATGTAGTCTGTAACATTTTTGAGTGTTTGCTTCTTGGCTGCCACCTACAAACAAAAAAGGGCCATGGCAGCTACTAGACTTATTTGATATTGGTGATGAAAAACTTATGGCGAAAAATTTGCAACAGATTTAATGACGTGCAAAATGTTTTTAATTGATTTATTATAAAATACTGAGATACTGAGTATTGTCAGCATGAAAGCATCACTTCTACAGGCAGTCTAGCTGTAAAGCAGTAAAAAAGTTTCCTGCTAAGATGCTAGAATGTTGGTCAGATGCTAATTATCAGAGGGTGTAAGCATAATGGCCCATGGATAGATTTTTATTTTTTTACTTTTATTGCAATACATTTAATTATTTTGTGGCTTCAGAAGGCTCCTCTTCCTCAAACCAAAGAAGCGCACACCAAAACTGATACTCTAAGTCCAAGAGTCAAACAATTATCAAGCTCTTTACTATTTAAACATGCAAGTTGAAATTTTGCATATTCTTTGTTTCATACATCATATTGTTGAGTGTTGGTGTTCTCCTCACAAGAGTAAACAGCTTTAAATGTATCAATATGGTCATTATTTCAGTTTTTATTCACTATTATGCTTTTTAGACTTATTAATTTACAGCATATGTGTTGGTTATGGTTCCTAGTGAGCTCTCCTTTTAAAACCCATATATTGAAAATATAAGCAGAAAATTCCAGCAGATTCCACATAGAATTGTCAACATTTATATACTTCAATTTTAATTTAACAATTTATCATTGTCCTTAAGTGTAAAACCTCCCTCATAAACATCCTAATCATTACTTTCAACCTATATCACGAGAAAGCATTATGGTAACCTCTTTCCCTAGCCTCACACAGAGCAAGCAATTATTATTGATATTACAATATAAAACAGCACAAAAGGACAACTCAACTTCTTGAGCCAGATGGTGACAAGTTCTAGCAAGAAATGAACAAACAAGTTTTCTCCAAGTTAATGTAATTTAACTAAAGATGCATGAGGAAATTGACAAAATGAGTTACTAATAGTCAAATAGGCCCTTCAAAATGAAATCTAAAATCAAAAAAAGAAAATAACCTCTTCGCCGATGATAGCAATATTTGGGTGTGTTTGCAAAGCACACTCCAATGTAATGTGAGAAGCAGCACGGCCCATTAACCTCACAACTGAACAAGAAAGAGTCATTTATAAGATTAAAAAAAAACTAAGTAAAAGAAATTTAAATATTAGTGAACATATATTAAAAAATTACCTAATACAATTTTATGAATTGTTAGCTAACAGGCAAATTAATGTCATGTTGGTTAATCATTTAATCAAAAAAGGAAAAAAAAATTAAACATAACATATGAAGAATAACACTGCAAAGGGACTAGAAAAAGATTTTGAGCACAAACAATTTGAAATGAGTTGGTTCTCATATTTAATGGAAACTATTGAACAACCTTGATATGTATATTTGAAAGTAGACCAGATCATTCAGTTCAGTTATCATGCTGGGTTTAGATAAACACAATACAACCCACAAACTTGGTTTAGTACAATTTTGTACAAAATTGGTGGGAGACTGTTGGGAAGGAAATCAAACCACATTAAAATAATGGGAGAATTTGCCATCAATGGTAGATGGTTGACTTGGTTTTAGGCCAAGTAGTTGTGAGAATTACTTTTCTGTAATAAACCAATCTACTCTATGTTAGTAGCATTTTAGAGTTTATAAATAACCAGTAGCAAATATCTTTGGTCAAGGTTCTGCTCCTTCTTTTATACTCAAAAAATAAAGAAGACATCAAGTGTTTTGAACCAAATACTAAAGCAACTATCAAAGATCAAGTCTTAGAACATAATCAGCTCACAGTGATAATATTTTCCAGTTGATCGTGCATCTGTCATGACATTTCCTATCATTTCAGAGTATATCTGCAGGAAAAAAAAAATCTCTGAGAAAATTGTGCAATGTAACTATGTTAAAATTGAAGAAATGAAGACTTGTAGAGTCACTAAGAATCTCTGTCTATTTATTCCTAGAATGATGAATATTTGATTCTCATATAATTGGCATCCCTGTCAAGCAACTTGTAAGCAAGGAAGAAAACATGTTTAAATCCTTGCTTTGCAAGTGCTCCCGTGTCAAGTAATAACCAGTAAAGCTTGCAAGTCAAAATGTGTTGATATATTGACTACCTTATCATTTCTACAATAATTGGCAAAAGAGACACCAAAACGACAAAGTAATAACCCTTTTCGAATCAGAATGGATGAGTTTGTCCTTCGTAGGATAAATACGAGGGATATCACATATCGAGCAATATGCTTGGTATTTGAACCTTGATAAATATGTCAAAGTTATCCACACAAAAAAAAAACAGGATTGGTTTTAAAAAAATGTAATAATGAGACTCAAGAATCCCTATAATCATAAACTCTAGAGAAATTGGCAAAATAAGGAAGCTATAAACCTAGAAAAACTACCAGTCGTGGCTACTATGTGATCTGAACATTCAAACGAATATTTGATATGGTATGTTGATGCAGAAATTGGATTTTGCTTTCCTTAAATATTAACAGTTGACACTACCACTAAAAAAGCAAAAGAGAGAAGAAAAAGAAAGAAAGATTTGACCTTGCAGGCTGTATCAAATCCGAAACTTGTCGGCACCTCCTTGCACTTTAAATCTCCATCAATTGTCTTTGGGCATCCAATAACTCGAGTTTTCAAATTCTTTTGCCTAACCATTTCAATATCATCAGATGTAAAAAAAAATTAAAAACCATCAAAAATGTCAAAATGATTGCAGTATTATGATTTAGTAAATTTTAACTCAAAGTTCAACCTAAAGTTTTCAGCAAGGAGGCATGCATTAGTGTTAGAGTCATCTCCACCAATAACAACAAGTCCATCCAAATCAAGTTTCACAGCTGTCTCCTCAGCTTGCTTAAACTGATACATAAGAATATGAAATGTGATGTCAGAACTTATAGTGAGCACATAAATATATAAACAGAAAATTTGTAAATCTACATTGTTATACAGGTAATATACAAAAATATCAGAAAAGCACCTGTTCGGGAGTTTCAATCTTGTCCCTTCCACTGCAGATCATATCAAATCCACCCTGTTCCAGAAAAAGCACTAGATTATTAAACCTTATAATTTATATATGGTTTTTAGAAAGTGGAGAAAAAAGAAATCTATAAGTTACAATTACACTTGGAATCATTTTGGCATTCATAAAGGCTGAAAGGAACTAGTTCAAACTATGTGCTAAGCCACCAAAACACAATCAAAGAGTTATAGTCTCCATGACAAGAGACAGCAACAATAAAGTACATATGCTTATCAAACCAATTACTACAAACATGATGGAGAAAATGTTCAACATGTATGGTAAATGATATTAGAGTAGATCAATAAAATCATGGTAACTTTTTGCATATTTCAGAAGCTTCATTTTCCTTCGCAACCTTCCTATCATTTTCACTTTATCAACTATGATCACTTGTTCTCATAACAAGTAGTTTTCTGATTTGGAGGTTTGGGTTTGTTGCTTATCTAGTCGCCTGCTTGCTTGCATTCTTACCGCTTACAGTTTGGTCTAGTTAGCATACAATAAATACAGAGGGCTGCACTGCATGATTGCACTCTATAATGAAAGCCTTACTTGTATAATCTACGATGGGAAAAGGACTGATGATTGAAAGGACTTCTTTCAAACTGAACACTTGCTAAATCTTATACCTATAGATATGAAAACAAGGAGAGTGTACCTTGACTGGGGAATAAGATAAGGAACTCATGACAATCCAATAGAGCTGTTTTGGGTAATTTCAGTTTTTCCTGGGATAATTCTTGATATATGCATGCCATAAAAATATTTGATTATGGATTGAAAATTTGTTATATATTGCATCTTGTATTTATCAATCTAAATTCCTATACATTATCATAGTGGATTCCGTCCACTGTTGATCCATAAGCTTCTACTGAAAGTTGACCTACCAATTCCTATTGCCATCACAGATCCCGAAATTTAGTCATAGATTAAGGTTGTTGCATGATAGGCCTGCCCCCCCTTTCTCTTAGCGGTGTGTAATAGCCGGTTTATAGATATTTTTAAACCAAACTAGAAACCGAAGTTCAACTAAAGTTCCAAATTTTGGCTGATAAGATAGGAGAGCCTACTTATCAGGATTTTCTCCAATTTAATAAGGTGGTCATAACCTTCAGTCCCGTAGCTCTTCTACTCTTACAATACCTTGATAGCATCAGTTAAGAGAGATTTTCAATTTAACCATTTACAAATAACCATATGAAAATGCCTTGATTTGAATAATATTACTGATGATTAATCTATAAGACATAAATTACTGCCGCCTATAAAAGTTTGTTCACCAGACAAATTAGTAATCCAATAACGAAGATTGATATCCAGGATCCATCAAAGAAAAAAATGATATTAAAAACGAAAATGAAGCATCAAATACCTGGTTTCTGTAAGGATAGATGAACTCTGGTGTCAGCTGCACATATTTGCACTTCATAATCCCAGCTGGACCTCCCTTGAACCCATAGAGGATACTGCCTTTCGCTCGCTCCTGCAAGTAATCTGCCACATTCCAAATGCAAAAAAATCATAAAAATAAACCATTAATTAATTACAAAACAAATGAACGAGCACTAGATCAAGAAAACGCGAGATCAAACATAAATCAACATGAAAACGGAATAATGACTCACCAAAAATTCCAGAGATGACATTGTGTCCACCTGGAGCCTGGCCACCAGATAACACGACGCCGATCTTCAAACTTCCGGCGGAATCTGAAGGATCCGAGCCCGTCGGCACCACCTTTGCTGATGGCTGACCGAACAGATTAGGGAACAGCTTTGCGATCTCATCTACAAACATCAACAACAACGGCATCATCAGAAGCATTATCGAGAAAAGGGGAGAAAAAGAAACTTGTCACCGAGAAAAAGAAACAAGTCGGGAGGATGACCTGGGTTTCCGGCGGCGGAGCTCGGCGGGCCATCGACGAGCTTGAAATGACCCTTAAGGACAGAGGGTAGAGGGAGCGGATGGTTGAGACGGCTCGTCTGCACCTCGCTGTACACCGAGGAGAGGCGGCCGGGGGATGGGCCGTTGTCGCAACCGTTGGCGAGGGCGGAATTCGCAGTGGCCATGGGGGCTGGAGCAGAGATAAGGATCGAGCGGGGGAGACGGATCTCAGTCTCAGATGTACAGAGAAAGCGGCAGCGAAAATTGAGTGAGTAATTCTCGGTTTTATAGGAGAGGGTTTGGGTTTAAGAGGAAATCGTCGTCGCGGCCCGCCGGTTCGCAAGGGAGCGGTAAAAGCGACATGGTGGGGGCCGAAGGGTACGCAGGGGTAGGTGGTTCGGGTGGGTTTCGGTGGACGGGTGGGTGAGATCGAGTTCTGACGTCGACGTGGCAACAATCCTGCAATGCGGAATACATATCGAATCTACATAATTATTATGCAAATTTTCGGGCGACTTACCTACAAAATATTCATTTTTTTAGATTTTTTAAAATATTTTATTTTTTATTTTTAAAAATAATATTCCTAATTTAAAAATTACTTAAAATATTTCTAAAAAAAATTCCTACATTTTATTTTTTTATTGGTCAATATTTTCATTTGACTCTTTTTTTATCTTATTTATAAGATTTGTAATACATCAATAAAATACTATAAATATTTTCAAAAAAATACTATAAGTGACATCATCTTATATCTATCTCTTTGATTGTCATTACTTAGACCATTACAATTTTTACTTTTAAACTTATAATTAGTTTGGTTGAGATTATGATTCTATTTAGATTATTTATAGTATTTTGAGTATGATTTACTGTGTTTTTATTAAACTATTATAAATACTTATTTGAATCAACATATCGAATGATTTCTCATGTGTTTTAATTTCATTCGACTCGTTTACAATGTTTTCAAAAAGTAGACTTTATAATATTATAATAAAATATTATAATAGACTAAAAACACTCTAACAGATGAAAATACTACGACAATTGAATTTAAGTTTTTTTTTTCTAAATTAAGGATATTAGATAGGGCACATTTTGGTATCGCCTACGTCGTCCCAAGCAAGCAAACATGACAATACAAATGTGGAACTTCAAGTCCGATGTAATGTGTAGCACATACATTGCTGACAACCACTTGTCGACAAACGACATCATCATGGTATAGTTGTCTCGGAAAGCTCAAGGTGGTGTCGCGTGACGCCGATCCGTGCAGGTCGATTGGTGCTCGCACAAAAGCTTAAGTCGACCATAGTTAATTGACCCTGTACGACTAACTCATCCTCGCAGGTATAAAAAAATAACCCTCCTTGATCAGGAGAGAGGAACATTCAACTCCCTCTAAATCCACTCAACACTTACTTGAACTTCGAAGGGATCGAGTTGGGAAATCACCCTCCTAACTTCGACCTTTGTGCGACAACGAAGCAACAACACTCGAGAGATGACGCTTGGACCCAACTCGACCCGACGTTGATGCGACCCGAGCATCCGCGTGGACAACCTTACGCATCCGGGATTGAATTGAGCCGTGCTGACACATCGACCACAACGTAAAGGTTCACTAACACTTCTTGAAAAAAATATCTAAAATATAAATATTTCCTAGAGAAATCATTCTTTTCATAACTGTTCTTTTAATTCATTAGAAATTGAAGGTTGGCTCATGGGAATTAGAATGCATGTTTAACGATGGGCCGAAGACTTTATGGTCCAGCGGAGGCCCTACTCTGGGGAAGATCCACAAATGAGGAACCCACCATTCTATTCTGATCACACTGCCATGCAATATAACGTCAGAAATGTCCTACAGCTCGAGTTCCAATCGAGTCAATAATTTTGACCCATTAAGGCCATGAAAAATGTCAACAGTAGCATCATATGATTCGCGTGCACGATGAGTCATGCAAGATGGCTCCATTGGACCTGACTAATAGAGATGCCACAGTTCATGCAGGTTAATGTAACTGTTTATGTTCTTAATTAGTCATCAAACACCCGAGAAACATTGGTCGGTGAGAGAAGAATAGGAAAAACAACAAAAATCTAATTTCTTGTTGTCGGGGGAGATAATATTGAAACATATATATATATATATATATATATATATATATATATATATATATATATATATATATAT